GACTCACGTACCCCGGGACGCTGTGGTGCGGGGCGGGCAGCAACGCGGACGCCTACGAGCAGCTGGGTAAGGGCAGCAGCGCGGCTGCTCCTTGCCCCCCCATCCCGTCCTTTCTCACCCCTTCCCATCCCCACCTATCCCAGTACTGGGTCAATCAATCCTAACCCAGTCCCCTCCCAGTGCTGGCCCACTCCAGTTTCATCCCTGTGCTAGTTCAATCCCTGTCTGTCCCAGTTCAGTTTCTACCCCAGTGACAGTACAGTCCCAGTTCAGCTGTCTAGTCCCCATCACAAGGCTGTTCCATCCTGGTCCCTTAACTGGTCCCATCATTGTCCTCATCCTGGTGCTGATCCAGTCCTGATCTACACTTTATCCCCAGCCTGATCCCTGATCTATCCTGTTCCCATTCCAGTCCCCATTAAGTGATGGACCAACCCAGTCAACTCCCAGTCCCTACCCTGATCCCAGCCCAGTCCCTTTCTAGGTCCTGGTCCCCATCCTGACCCCAGTTCCATGCAGCCCCTGTCTCATCCCAGTGCCAGCCTGGTCCCCATCCAAGTGCAGTTCCAATCCCCGCCCCTACCCATCCCAGTACAATTCCAGTCCCATCTCAGTCCAATCCAATTCCAACCCCAGTCCAGCCCCAGCTCCTGCATGTTCTCCCCCAGCCCCCAGCCCAGCCTGACCCCCTGCCTGCCCTGCAGGGGAGCACAGGGACACAGACAGGTGCTCCCCGCACCCCGGGGGGGGGTCCCAGCACCCCGGGGGGGGTCCCAGCCCCTCCGGCAGCACCCGCCCCATCCCCTGACCCCGCTGTGCCCCCCGGCAGGTTGAAGGAGTGTCTGCAGCGAGTGAACGACACGGCCTCGCGGGTGGTGGGCCAGGCCTTCTTCAATGTCATCCAGGTGCCCTGCTTCGAGTTTGCCTACAAGGAGGAGTGCGTGGAACCCTACCTGTATGTCTGGTGAGTGTGTCCCCCCGTGCCATGGGAACCATCCCCCTTGCTTGGCCCTGCCAGGGCCCAGCCTCACCCTGTGCCTCCTCCCTCTGCAGGTGCAGGGCGTACAACACGGTGGCCATCGCGGTGCCCAGGGAGCCGGTGCTGTACGACTTCGGGGGGGAACTCATTGACCGGGCAGCAAGGCCTGGGGGGGTCCTGCTGAGCCCCCCGTGGAGCAGCACAGGTGAAGGAGCCATCCCAGTGGAGTATCGTGTGCCTGCCCACCCGCTGTCCCCCCCCAAGGCAGCCAAGAGGGAGAGGAAGGGGAAGAAGAAAGATGAGAAAAAGAAGGGGAAAGGCTTGAAAAGGAAAGGTTCTTTTGAAGGTGGGGAGCAGAACCCTCCTGCAGCCACTGACCCCATGGGGAATGACCCACAGGCCCCACTGCTGGACTCAGAAGCAGCCAACACCATCCTGAGTAAGGGCCCAGCACAGCAGGGCTGGGACAGGGAGATGGCCCCAGCCCCTGTCTCCACTGCCAGTGGGAAGAGGAGGAAGGAGAGAAACAGAAAGAAGAGGCTGAAAAGCAAAGCTGGGGCAGAGCCTTGAGCCCCCCCACGGGTCTTGGCTGTGTAATAAAGTTGGTTGTTTGAGCAGATGGTGCAGCCTCAGCCCCATCTCTCTGGGGGGAAAGGATCTGGGAGCAGCATCCAGGGGAAATCCCAAGGCTGATCCTGCTTGTGGGGCTGTGGGAGGGAAAGCACTTGGAGCCCGGAGGTATTGGGTGGGTCTGAGCTGCTCCTCATGGCTCCCACCAGCTCATGTTATTTTCTTGGGCATGTGGGACAGCAAGTCCCTGCTCAGGCTGGAGACACAGCTCCTGTCCCTGGGCCAGCACAGGGCAGAGCCCTGATTTTTGCTCCTTGCCACAGATGGTTGAGCTTCAGCTCCCTGGGGCTGCTGGAAGAGCAGTTAATGATTCCACCATCGAAGTTCCCTCCTCTGCTTAACCTGCTGCCTTTTCCCAGGCTGGGAGAAGCACAGTTGCTTCCACACCAGCACCAACTCCTTCAACAAGCCCCAGCAACTGCAGTGAGGGGCCTTGTGCTTCCCTGGAGGCTCCTCAAACACCCCACAAGACCTCTTTGGAGTGGGACAATAGCAGCTTTTCCTGCCGTGGGACAAAGGCAGACACAAGCTGCCCATGTCCCTGCCTGGCAGAGGGTGATTACAGCCTGGTCTCCTCACCAAAAACTGGGCTCCTGTAGGTATGAGCCCGAGGGCAGCACCCAGAGATTGGGCATTGTCACTAACTCCTGCACAATGCATGTGTGTCTTGGCACAGCATCCCTTCTGCCACCCTGAGACTGGTAGAAAGATCTTCCTACACCAGCACCGAATTCCAGAGTCAGAAGAAGCTGGAGGAGCAGGTGGTGCAATCCCAAATCCCTGAAAGAAGTGGATCACAAGAGCCTGGGGGGGTGGGAGGAAATACCAAGGTTGTAGCCAGGCACTCGACCCTGAAAGTCCTTGTGGCAACCACAGTGTCCTGGCAGGAAGGACAGACATGGGGCAGCTTCCCAAAAGTAGAATTTTTATTGATGGTAAGGGAAAAACTAAAAACAAAGACAGCCAAAAAGGAGCCGACAACTCACAATTGGCCCCGCCCCGTCCGGGTCCGACACTTCCCTGGTTAGGAGCTGCTCCCGATCCAATTCTTGTCAGACAGAGTTTCATAAAATTAAACAAAAAAATAGCGTTAAGGTTAGTACACCCACAGCTGCAGCAGCCCCTGGCCCTGGAACACGGCCCTCCAGCCCAGCCTGTGTGGCTGCGGGGGGGAGCTGGGCTGTGTGACCCCCCGGTACTGCCGAGGAGATGGAGGAGCCAGGACCTGCATTCCTCTGTGGAAACGGCTTTGCTTTGTCTCCCGGCTTTGCTGCCATTCTTCAGGAGCATTTACATGCAAAAAAGCCTTTGTTTCCGAGGATCTGCTGTTCTTGCTCATTTCCTACCGCGGGAAGGCCGACCAGGAGCAGTTGGAAGGAACAAAGACTCTGCTTCCATAGAAAATCCCTACTAGCCAAGCAAGAAGAGGGGAAGTGTGTGTGCAGCAGGAACTTTCCAGTTCAGAAATGGCTCTCAGCAGACTGCAGCAGGCTGCTTCTGACACGACTGGAGTTATCTGCTGCTCCCCCAGCACCTCTCCCAGTCAGGGACTGGGACTCCAGGAGGTGCCCCGGGTGTCGGTGGGATCCACGAGGCATTCAAACCAAGACATTATTCTCGATCAGCTCAACAGAAAATAGCTTCTCTCTGAAAGTTTCAGCACATGGAGGGCAACTCCAAGAAACGAAGGAAGAAGGAGAAGCCACTTGCACCACTGAGCTTTGCTTCTGAGCACATCCACTGCTGAGGGGAGAGGGCAGAGAGGCAGCACACGGCGAGGGGGGGGCAGGAAACCCCTTGACTAGCAGTCAGTCCAAACATTGTTTATTCACCCTTCTTGCTTAAAACAGGGCAGGGCTGAGCAGGTAGGGAGGAGGATGCCACGCACTCCCAGCTGCTTCATGTTCTCTGCCACAGGAGCAGCCATTTCAGCCCAGGTGCCTGTCCCGTGCCTGGGAACGCTGCCCTCGGCTGGTGTTTTGCTTTGCAGTCTGATTTAAAAAAAAAATAATAAATCGAAACCAAATAAATATTGTTCCAGAGAAGCCAGAGGAGAGAGCAAGCCTTTGGTACGACAGCTGTGTTTCTCTCCAGCAAGACCACGAGCCCCAGAGCTGCTGTGCTAGACCCCTCTGAACACAGCTGGGGGTTGGCACAGGCTCCACAGAGCCCGTTGCACACAAAAACACAGAGCAACCAACAACAGAAACTTGAGCAGAACTGCAGTTTGCTTGTCACAACCCCCTCTGTGCTGTCAGGATGAGGAGAGGTGACAGCCAGGGTTTGGAAGAATCCAAAAGGAACAGGCTCACTCCAGGCCCACGGTCTGCACTTTCAGCTGTGTTTGCTTCCCAGTCTTTGTGGAAAGCAGACGGTTGTGCACGCACAAGGACAGACCTGTTTGACCTCATAATTACTTTGCAGAGCTTCCAAAGGGTTAAACCAGGGCCTGGAACGCAGAGTCCACTGCAATGTCCCTTCCTATGATATATTTATATATATATATAGTATATATATTTAGACTAGCCCTGCCAAGTCTATTCATTCACTCAGGTGCACGTCACCAAGAGCCATTTCCCATCATCTCACGACGTATAAAACAGGAGTTGTGTGGCTGAGGGAAGGGAAGTCGTTTACAACTGTTCCCTCTCCTTTCCCCTTGCTGGAGAAGGGACTGGAGGTGGGGGGAGGCCCAGCAGGGCCTATCGGTCCATCTCGTCCAGCAGCGGCGTCGCGTCCCCGGCCAGGGACATGGGGGTGCTCTCAATCATGGGGCTGGGGGACGGGCGGGGGGTCAACCTCTGCTTCTGTTTCCTCCTTTCAGCCTCCTTCTCCTGCAGCCACTGCTCGGCCATCTTCCCCCAGTCGATGGCAGCGTGGCTGTTGGTCCTGCAAGGACAAGGTGAGACACGTGAACGGGAGAACTTCCCCGCCAAGGGTCCTGGGGCAGGAAGGTGAATGCTGGGGTTACAGCAAAATAGAATCACAGACTGGTTTGAGTTGGAAGGGACCTTAAAGATCATTTAGTTCCAACCTTCCTGCATGGGCAGGGACACCTCCCAGCAGACCAGGCTGCTCCAAGCCCCATCCAACCTGCCCTTCAACACTTCCAGGGATGGGGCAGCCACAGCTTCCCTGGGCAGCCTGGGCCAGGCTCTCACCACCCTCCCACCAAAGAATTTCTTCCTAATGTCCAACCTAAATTTCCTCTCTTCCAGTTTTAATCCAGTACCCCATGTCCTCTCACTAAAAAGCCCTTGTAAAAAGTCCCTCCCCAGCTTTCCTGTAGGCCCCCAGTTCAGATACTGGAAGACCACTATGAGGTCCACAAAAATCCACAAAGCCAATCAGGATTAGACAGATGGACACAAGCACCCAGAGCCACTCACTTTGGCTGCTGCCTCTGCCTGGAGCTGGAGGATGGCTGCGACTGGGACTGGGTGGACTGGGGTGTGGTGTTGGCTTGGAGCTGGTACTGGGGCGTTGTAATCGGCTGGCTGGGAGTAGTGTAGGAGTAACTGGGGGTCATCAGAGGGGTGGCCACTGGTTGTTGTGCTGGAGTCGTGAAGACCTGCAGAGAGCAGACAGTGTGAGGGGACAGAGGGAAAACTCCAAGGGCCACCGAGTTGTGTGGCTGAGGGAAGGGAAGTCGTTTACAACTGTTCCCTCTCCTTTCCCCTTGCTGGAGAAGGGACTGGAGGTGGGGGGAGGCCCAGCAGGGCCTATCGGTCCATCTCGTCCAGCAGCGGCGTCGCGTCCCCGGCCAGGGACATGGGGGTGCTCTCAATCATGGGGCTGGGGGACGGGCGGGGGGTCAACCTCTGCTTCTGTTTCCTCCTTTCAGCCTCCTTCTCCTGCAGCCACTGCTCGGCCATCTTCCCCCAGTCGATGGCAGCGTGGCTGTTGGTCCTGCAAGGACAAGGTGAGACACGTGAACGGGAGAACTTCCCCGCCAAGGGTCCTGGGGCAGGAAGGTGAATGCTGGGGTTACAGCAAAATAGAATCACAGACTGGTTTGAGTTGGAAGGGACCTTAAAGATCATTTAGTTCCAACCTTCCTGCATGGGCAGGGACACCTCCCAGCAGACCAGGCTGCTCCAAGCCCCATCCAACCTGCCCTTCAACACTTCCAGGGATGGGGCAGCCACAGCTTCCCTGGGCAGCCTGGGCCAGGCTCTCACCACCCTCCCACCAAAGAATTTCTTCCTAATGTCCAACCTAAATTTCCTCTCTTCCAGTTTTAATCCAGTACCCCATGTCCTCTCACTAAAAAGCCCTTGTAAAAAGTCCCTCCCCAGCTTTCCTGTAGGCCCCCAGTTCAGATACTGGAAGACCACTATGAGGTCCACAAAAATCCACAAAGCCAATCAGGATTAGACAGATGGACACAAGCACCCAGAGCCACTCACTTTGGCTGCTGCCTCTGCCTGGAGCTGGAGGATGGCTGCGACTGGGACTGGGTGGACTGGGGTGTGGTGTTGGCTTGGAGCTGGTACTGGGGCGTTGTAATCGGCTGGCTGGGAGTAGTGTAGGAGTAACTGGGGGTCATCAGAGGGGTGGCCACTGGTTGTTGTGCTGGAGTCGTGAAGACCTGCAGAGAGCAGACAGTGTGAGGGGACAGAGGGCAAACTCCAAGGGCCACCACAGCCTGTTCACCCCACACAGGGAACATGGGGGAGACACTGAAACCAAAGATATGAGCAGCAAGACGTGGGGACAAAAGACATTTGGGGCAAGCTAGAAGATGTCCCACAGCAGGCATGAAGAACAGATGAACTATTCCTCTCCGGGCTGCAGCAGCTCCTGAGATTGCTCCCTCCCACATCCCAATCTGGCAGGCTCACTGTGTGCCCAATGGAATGCTTAGTTTCTTTGCCTCCTGGTGTTCACCTCCCTCCTCCTTCAGATTGTCTTGATGATTAATACACTGGGTTTCCCCCCCCCCTTCCTATCCCCAGCTCAGCCCTTGCTGTGCCAAACTCCGTGAAAGCCTCCCAGGGTGGTCTAAAAGAGGATCACTCCTCCCTGCAAGCCTTGTCTTGCAGCACCACTTCGCCAGGTCTCTAAGGGCTGGGTGTGACTTCTGTACCCAGGCACCTCGGTCCTGCAGCTGCATTTGGCCTCTGTGTCAACTGGGGAGCTGGTGGCACAGGCTGGGAGAGGCAGGTACCAGCACACACAAGGAGAGGCGCTTCAGCATGAGCCAAAATTGCCCAATTCCACCTTATTCCCTGCTAAGCCTCTGGCTGTTGGGTCAGGCTGAGGTGTTGGCTGCCGGTGCAGCTCAGGGATTAGCACACTGAGCTGAAAAGCTCTGCAAACTCAGCACATAGTTCCACAGCTAATCTCTTCCACTGGCAGCTCATGTTGCCAATTTGGGGCACAATCAGAAGGTTGTGAGGCTGCACCACCAGATCCCACCTCTCC